ATGCCCTCCACCACCCACCCCACCCCACCTGTGTGTGCAGGACGTGGAGCTGGTCCAGTTCATGGGAAAAGACAACGTTCCCTTCCACACAGTCATCTTCCCCGCCACGCTGCTGGGCACGCGGGTGGGTGGCGGCGGCGGTGTGTGTGCCTCGGGGCCAACGTGGGGTGGGCAGCGGGAGGGGGCGGCACCGCCCCTTTGCGGCAGACGGCCTGTGTGTGGTGTTCCAAGAACAACGTCAACACCAGCCACCCCCCTCCTCCCTGCACCCTCCTCCCTGCCCCCGCACCTCCTCCCTGCCCCCACACGCCCACCCCCCACCGAGCAGGACCCCTGGACCATGATGCGCTCCATCTCGGTCACCGAGTACCTCAACTACGAGGACGGCAAGTTCTCCAAGAGCCGCGGGGTGGGCGTGTTTGGCAACGACGCCAAGGAGACGGGCATCCCTGTGGAGGTGTGTGTGAGGGGGTGGTGTGTGCGTGTGTGTGTGCGTGTGGTTGTGAGTGTGTGTGTGTGCACGCGCGCGTGTGCGCGCGCGCGGGGTTGGCGTGTGTGTGTGTGTGTGTGTGTGTGGAGGTGTGGAGAGGCGTGGATGTGGGTGTGATGGGGAGTAGGGCGTGAGCCGCGCTTGCGGGCACGTCGCTCTCTTCTCATGCCACCATGCCGACCCCCCGCCCGCAGGTGTGGCGCTACTACCTGCTGGCGCTGCGCCCGGAGACCTCCGACTCGGGTGAGGCAGCAGCTCTGCATCTGCCACCCGCAGCCCGCCCCCGCACACACCCGCACACACACTGTCCTGTGCACCAGGCACACATATTCACACGACCGCCGTGCCCCGCGCCTGAACACCACCACCACCACCACCACCACCACCACCGCCGCCGCCGCCGCCGCCGCCGCCGCCGCCGCCGCCGCCGCCTGCCCGCAGCCTTCCAGTGGGACGACTTTGCGACCAAGAACAACGCGGAGCTGAACGACAACCTGGGCAACTTCATCAACAGGACGCTCAAGTTCTGCTGGGCGCGGTGGGTGGCGGCGCGCCGGGGTGGGTGGGCCGTGGGATTGTGGTGGGTGGCGGCGGGTCGGGTTGGTTGGGCTGTGGGCTTATGTGTGGTGGTGGGGAGGATGTTGAGTCGGGGAGCGGCTGGAAGCCGCGCGTTGGGTTGTTGCTGGGGCCAGGGCATGCCGCAGCGGCTGCTGTCAGCAGTTGGGGCCTGCCCACCCTACACTTTGCCCTACATTGTGCCCACAAATCACTCCTCCCTTCCCGCCTCCCTCCCACCGCCATCCCCATGCCGCAGGTTTGACAAGACTGTGCCGGGCGCCTCGGCCGGCGGGGCGGGCATGGAGGCGGTGCGTGGCCTGGGCGAGAAGGTGGCGGCGCTGGTGGAGCAGTACATCCAGGGTGAGGCGGTACTGCCTCGGGGTGAGGCGGTACAGCTTGGGATAGGGCAAATGCAGCCTGAGGTGGGAAAGGTGGCGCCGCTGGTGGAGCGCTGGAAGGCGCGCCGCCTTGGTGCCGCGGCGCAGCTTTGGGCGCGCCGTGCTGCCTTCACCTGCCTCCCAAGCGCTTATCTTCACCACACACACCTACCAGCTCCTCCTAACCTCGCTTTCCGCATCCCCACAAGTCACAATTTCCTGGCACGGCCCCATCACGCGCCCCGCAGCGCTGGAGGGCTTGCGCATGAAGGAGGCGCTCAAGTGCGCCATGCTGGCCAGCAAGGCGGGCAACGCTTTCTTCCAGGTGCGTTTGGGGCCATGCTGGTTCGCCGTGCCGTGCTGTGGTGTGTGCGCTGGGGACTCGCGTGCATGCTGTGGTGTGCGCTGTGTGTGTGCTGTGCATGCTGCCTGTTGGCCTGGTTGGCTGCCGAAGCCTGGCCCCTTTTCCCTTTGCCCTCGGCCCCCCTGCAGGAAACGGAGATTTGGGTGGCGTACAAGCAGGACAAGGAGGCGTGCGCGTGTGAGTGCACTGGCAGCAGGGGGGGGCCTCCTCTCTTGCCAAAGGGCAGAAAGGCTTTCGGTTGCTGTATCCACCCGCGCCGGCATGCCGCTGCTGCCTGCTCCGGCTGGTGCTGCGCAGCAGCCGCGCCCACCGCCCACGCCCTGCCGGGGCAGCATGCAGCAAGGTGGCCGCCACCTCCGCTCTGGCAAGAGCCCGTTCTCCCCCACCCTCCAAACCTCGTCCCGCCGCCCACCCCTGCCTTCCCGCCTGCCTGCAGCCTACATCTCCGCCTGCGCAGGCATCGTGCTGCTGCTGGCGGCCCTGCTGCAGCCCTTCATGCCCTCCTTCACAGCCAAGCTGCTGCAGCAGCTGGGCGCCTCCGAGGCGAGAGCCCAACCGCTGCCTGCCCCGCGCCTTGCCTCGCCCTGCCCCGCACGCTTTGCTCCCCACCACTGGGCCCGGCTGCTGCCGCGCCGCCTGCCTCGCGCCCACGCATGGACAGACACACGCACCGCCCTCTCACCTTTCCCCCTGTCTGCATGCCCCTGCAGGCGCCGCTGTTGACAGACGACCTCGTCAAGGCGGCAGCCAACCCGGCGGCGCTGCTGCGGCCCGGCCACCCCATCGGCGCGGCAGAGCCCACACCGCTGTTCCGGTAAGCGATGGTCGGGGCAGGGCTGGTGGGATGGGGCTGGCGTGCTTGCAGGGCAGGCACGCGGCAGAGAGTGCTTGCCAGCGCTGTGGGGACCTGGCTGGGGCTGCCTTGCTGGGTGTCTGCCTTGTTGGGTGCCAACTGTTGGTACTGCATGAATGGTACTGCCTGCAGCAAGATCACGGACGACGAGGTGGTGCAGCTGAGGGCGCGGTACGCCGGCAACCAGGCAGACCGTACCGCAGCAGCAGCCGCGGCAGCTGCCAGCAGCAGTAGTTCCGCGGCCCCGGCTGCCTCGGCGGCAGGCAAAGGCGGCAAGGGTGCTGCCGCTGCGGCTGCAGCTGCCGCCAGTGGCAAGGGTGGGAAGGATGGCGCGGCCGCCAAGGCAGACGGCGCCGTGGCGGGCGGCGGCAAGAAGGAGAAGGCTGCGGGCGGCGGCGGCGGCAAGGGCGGCGGCAAGGGCGGCGGCAAGGCCCCCGAGCGGCCTGCCGACATCGGGAGGCTGGACCTGCGGGTGGGGCTGATCCGGAAGGCGTGGCGCCACCCCGACGCGGAGAGGTGCGGCGGGAAGGCAGGCGGCGGCTGCGCGCTCTGCCTGCCGCGCCCCATCCCTGCTCCGCTGCCCGCTTCTTGCCGGGCCCCTCCCTCTCAACACAACCCGCGCTCAAACCCGCGTTCTCCCCATCCCCCTGCCCCCGCCGGCACATTCTGCCCCCCTCCCTGCCCACCCTGACACATGCAGCCTGTACGTGGAGGAGGTGGATGTGGGGGAGGAGGCGCCCCGCACCGTCGTCTCGGGCCTGGTCAAGTTCATCCCGGAGGCAGGCAAGGATGCCCAGGATGCTAACGTCAAGAGCTGCTTCAATTAATGATGCCTGCAATGACCGCTGCTAGCACCTGGCTCAGCAGCAGCCCCTCTTGACATGCTGGCGGTGCCCATCCGCCCATCCTTGCCCGCCGTGCAGACATGCAGCAGCGGCGGGTGGTGCTGGTGTGCAACCTCAAGCCCGCCAACATGCGCGGCATCCAGAGCCAGGCCATGGTGCTGGCAGCCACCTCGCCCGACGGCGGCAAGGCGAGTGGAGCCTGCGTTGGGACGGGTGCAATCGTCGCTCTTGTGCCTGGGGCCTCTTGCTACGGGTTCCTCTGCCACGTGAACGTTCCACCTACCTCCCATCTGCCTTGGGCCCGCAGGTGGAGCTGGTGGAGCCGCCGGCGGGCGCCGCCGTGGGCGAGCGGCTGGCGGTGGCGGGCTACGACTGCACCCAGCCCGACGAGCAGCTCAACCCCAAGAAGAAAGTGTGGGAGGCGGTGAGCGGCCTGGCATCCCGTTTGGTTAGCTTGAAGCCAGAGGGTTTCAAGCTAAGCAAACACGTTTGTCTTTTTCTGCCTGCAGGTGCAGCCCGACCTGGCGACCAACGAGCAGCTGGTGGCATGCTACCGGGGTCAGCCGCTGCTCACCAGCGCCGGACCCGCCAGCGTGCGGAGCGTGGCGGGTGGCAGCATCAAGTGAGCGCGCATTGATGTTTGTTTGTGGCTGGCATTGAGATCTACCTACGCTGTAGACAGGTGGGAGCCAGGAGTCAATGAGCCAAGGTAGAGTGGGGCTGGCGGCGTGACAAAGGATGGATGGAGAGGGTGATTTTGGGGAGGGTGAAGGTGCAGCGGGGTGGGTGGAGGCGGGGTGGATAGGTGGCTTGGAGAAGGTTGAGGGAGGGGGTGGAGCACTGGTGGAGCGGCAGGGAAAGCGGAGGGTGCCTGGGGCCAGCCCGTGACGTCAGAGAGTGAGGAGGGGAAACAGGGGGCATCGCGGGGAGGCTGGAGCAGCAGCCTGACCACCCCAGCATGTTGCCACCTCAAGGCGAGAGCCGCGACAAGCCGACCAGGCGTGCTTGTTGCTCGCCGCTGCCTGTGTGTTGGCGCATACCAAGCTGCTCTGGAGGCCACGTGCACGCCCTATGCGCCACGTCGCGCTGAGTCGCAGCAGGTCCGCCAGCCGCACCGCCTCTGGGCTTGGCCAATGGGCGCTTGGGGTGCAGGGCCGAGGTGCCTGGCAGCCTTCCAGGGCACGGCAGTAGAGAGCAAACGCATGCAGGCATTCATTAGTGGCACAAGGCCCTGGTCAGCATTCGAGCCCAAGCGCGGCGGCGGCAGCAGCAGAGCTGCCACCTTCTTACTTTAGCATTTACACTACTACAGATGCGGCATCGAATCATCCAACAACTCATTTCCAAAGACAATTTGGAGAGATGGGCGCACACGCTGGGCCTCCACAACAGCGGAATGCACTTCCGCATTGCTGAAGTGTCGATTGCAGGAAAGGCGCTGAAGGCTGGGGTGCTGGGCCGCCCAGCACACAATGCTGGGCAGGTCTGCCTCGTCTTCACCCGCTCCCAGCACCTCCAGCACCTCCAGCTGCTGCGACACCGCCAGCGTTGGCAGGCTGAGAGCAATAAGATTGGGCGGTGCGCCAAGCTCGTGCAGGCTGGCCAGCCAGGGGCCGGCGGGCAGCACCGCACCATCGCATGCTGTTCTTAGCTGAAGAGAGTGCAGATGTTGCAGGCTGGACAACGTTGCCGGTGCATTCGGGCACACACCCAGTTCCAGGAAAGTCAGCTGTTGCAGGTGCGGCAGTGCTTGCTCCACAATCGCAAAATCGTCCACATTTTGATCATAATGCTTGTTATACTGAAAGACTGCGAGAGAGTGCAGGTGAGCTGATGAAGGCAGGCTGGAATCGAACCATCGCATTGCAAATTAAGTCGCCGGAGGGTGGTTATGCGGGTGAGAGGCGTATAGGTTTGCAAGTCGTATTTGCATTGGGTGTGAAAGGCTGCAAAGTCTGCTCAGGTCACCAATCTGCAAAGCAGACAGGCAGGGGGCTAGCGCACATGGCAGCCGCAAGCGCAGGGCATGACGGCTCAGGAGCAAGACTGCCCCTTTTCCATGACTGGACAGCTTGCTGCGTAGCAAGGCAAACCTGAACAGGAAACATCAAATCCATGTAAACATTAGACTCGATGCGGGAATCACGAAAAATCTCGAGGCTGGTCAGGAACGGCGGCAGGCGGACGCTTCGGTCCTGCCGCTCCAGGTCCAGATACTGGCCCACATCCAGCCGCAAATGCTCCAGCGCTGTCAGGTGGCCCAGCGACTCTGAGAGAGTCACACTCGTATACCAATTCAGAGCATGTGTGTCCAGGCGCCGAAGGCTGTGCAGCGGCGCCAAACATCTGCTGAGGTCGTAATTAAAGCCGAGGGAGAGCTCCAGCGTTTCCAGGCGGCTGCATGCCGCCAGCGAGTCTGCCAGCTCCGCAACACAATCCTGCAGCTGCTGCACTGACAGATCAAAATGCAGCTCTGCAGGCGATTGAACACGCGCGCGCTCCAGAGCAGGCTGGCGGACCCTACCTTTCTGTCGGGTCCAGCAGACCGAAAATCGACTCCAGCACGCCATCAGGCAGCTGCTGAATGCCGGTAGGCATGGCTGGGCCCAGCAGGCAGCAGCAAGGGAGCGTGGTGGCTTCTCGTGTGCAGGGCCAAAGCGCCTGGCACCCTTCCAGGGCACGGCAGCAGAGAGCACACGGACGCAGGCGTTCAAATTTACGGAGACACGGGCGAAGCAATGTTGAGGCTCCAACACCCCGCCCGCTGTGCCCACGCTGCCGCTCCGCACGCTGCTTGGCCGGCGCACATTGCTGCCATCTCTGTTGCATGAAGAAGGGAGGACACCGCATCCTGGCAAGCCGGGCACGGACACAAGGGGCAGCAGCAAACAATCATGGAGGGGCTGCGCCAGATCGAGGCCGCGTGCTACGGTATGCTCGGCTGCGGCGGCAGCACCGCCGCCAGCCACTGCTCCAGCACCCAGCGAACCTCCAGCGGCGCATCGCGAGGCACCATGTGGCCCGCCTCTGTCAGCACCACATGTGTCAGCCCGCCTCCCTGCTTCCAGTACGCAACCACCCGCTGCGCCGAGGCGTCCCGCCGCCCCAGCGCCGGGCCGCCACCGTCCTGCCGCTGCTGCCGGTCATCAGTCTGCTGCCGCTCAGCCGTCTGCTGCCGCGAGCCGGAGCGCTGTATAGAACGGTCGAGGCTGCTCGCCACGGCCGCAGTGACCTGCAGCTGCCGCTGCGGGCGCACGCTGGCTGCCGCTGCCGCCCCGCCGCCGCCAAGCAACAGCTGGGCATCTCCGACGCCGGCCTCCTCCGCGCTGCTTGCTGTGGCCCCGGCGCTGCCGACATTCCAAGCGCCTTCCCCTGCCAGCCCCTCATCCTCCTCCTCTTCTCCCTCCTCCATGTCGTTTGCCCGCAGTATGTGCCGCTTGGCCCCCGAGAAGGCCGCCCGGCCCTCCCAGTCCACAGCATAGATCCAGGCCTCGGAGGAGGCGGCTCCATCCTGGGCATCCCGCATGCCTGCAGGCAGCCGGGCAGCAACGGGCGTCGGCAGGGAACAGACGGGAGGGTTGCCCGGCTGGGCAGTGGCCGCTTGCTGCGCCGGCCGCACCCAGCCAGCGCATGTCAGGACAAGAGCCACGAGCCGACAGCTGGCAGCCGGCGGAAGAACGGGAGCCCAGCTGCCCATATGAAAGCCGCTTGCAGCAGTGGCGACAACAACAGGATCCGGGACACCTGCCTTGGTACAGCAGCATTGGGTACGCCGCCAGCAGGTCCGGCACCAGGTGCTTCACAGTCTTCATCACATCGGGCCCCAGCGCCTCCCCCACCTCGTCAGAACACGACTCAAAGCGCAGCCCCGGCGCCACGCCCAGAGCCTCCTGCACCGGGGGCAGCAGGAGCATCAGCTGGGGAGGCAGCTGGGGAGGCAGCGGCTGCCAGGCTGGGCAGCCTTGCAGCAGGGGGAGGGGCTGGGCTGGCAGCAGACTGGGCTGTGCACAGCGAGCCCCTCCCTGCCCTGGGCCAGCGGAGTAGCTTCCATGTGCCAGTGGGCAATAATAGAGGGGTGTGAAGGCAGTACACATCAGGCCCCACCTGTACTTCGGGCAGGTTCAGGTAGCAGTCCACCAGCTTCCCGGCATCATAGTCCTCGTACCTGCGGTACCAACAGCAGTGCCGGCAGCATGGCCACAGGTGCCAGGCACGGCAAACTGCTGGAATGCCGAGGCTTCAGAGAGCACACACACACACACACACACCTGCCCATGTCCAGCAGCGTGGCGGCCCCCGCCGAGCTCCGAATGTGCTCCAGCAGGCCCGACCGCAGCCCATGCGCCTCCTCCCACCGCCCTGCAGCCACCCGGGAGCCAGCCCATGATCAGGCGCAGAGACCATCATGCACACAGCTGCGCTCTCAGGCGCCGAAAGGAGCTGCACCACCACCCCACCCACACGCAGACGTTGCCCTCCATCACCCCTGAAAGCACACACACACACACACACCGCCCTCATCCGCCGCGATCAGCTGCACCACCTCCAGCTGCATGGTCATGGCCCTCACGCGCTGGTGAGGGTCGATGTAGCCCTGGAAGTAGGCGGTGTCGGCGTGAGCCATGACCTGCAGGTGGCACACAGAGGAGGCAGGCCGCAGGCTGGGAATCAGCAACCTTAGTGTTCTTGAAGACGCTGCGCAGCAGTGCCACAGCCTCGGTGACCAAGCAGCGCGGCAGCATGCAGCGTGCAGCGCCGCAGCAAGCGGCAGAGAACCAAAGCTAGGTGGTGCAGGGTAGTGGCGGTGCAGGTGATGGGCAAGGCAGGATGTGGACAACAGCAGCTGCAGGCACAGAAGCAAGCAGAGGCAGCAGAAGCAAGCGCGAGAGCGCAGCCAGAGGCCCCTTGCCTGCGCCGCCGGGTCGGTCAGCCCGTTGCCAATTGCAAGCGCCTGCAGCTTGAAAAGCGGCGGCTCGCCCAGCAGCGGGCGGGAGGCCAGCAGGTGGGGCGGGATGGCGCGGCGGTGCTGCAGGCGCCGCTCGGCGCCCTCCTCACCCGCCGTCTGCTGCAGGATGAAGTGGCCTATGCTGGGCACATACTTGCCTGCAGCGGGCGAGCGGCGGGCGGGTGGCACCCAACGAACTGACCACCATTCATCTGCATGCATCGCTGCCGAGCATAGCAGCTGCTCTAAAGCATGGCTGGCTCAGGCCCACACCCACCAGCGTAGCTCTCTCCTGCTATGACCAGCGGGTGGGCTTGCAGGTCCGGGTAGCGCTGGAAGAAGGCCTGCAGGCCGCAGTACAAATCTGCCGCCAGCGTCATCTCATCCTTGGGGATCGACCGCTCCTTGCCTGGGCGTGGGCAAGGCGGGGGGAGGGGTGAGTGGTGAGTAGGGGTCGACAGAGGAACACACAGCTAAGACAGGCACGGAGCGGCGAACAGAAGGCTTGCTTGAAGCAGCCGCTTCGCTCACCTGGCAGGCTGAACCCCGCCCCGACGGGTTGGTCGATGAAGAGCAGCGCCGACTTGCGGTTCCACTTCCCTGCGGTGAAGGTGGCTGGGCGGCAGGCTTGTGAGGAGGCCCTGGGCGCAACACGATCCCGCCACGGCGGGCCACACGCCGGCGGCAAGGCCAGCACCCACCTGGGTTGGGCTGCAGGCCCAGCTCCCCGTCCACCAGGTCTGGCCCCAGCTCGCAAAAGGCGCCAAACAGGGACGCGCAGCCGGGACCCCCCTGCAGGAGCAGGCAGAGTCGCAGCGAGTCGGCGGCGAGCGGCGGCGGCGAGCGGCGGCAGCTCAGGCGTGACCTGCGACCGCACCGGTGGCCTGGCTGCACCCATTGCGGCCCATCTAGCCCGCACCTGTAGCCAGAGCGTGATTGGGGCGTGGTCGCGGCGACTGGCGGCCCTCTTCGGGTCGTCGGGGGCTCTGCTCTGGGCCTCGTAAAACAGGAAGAACAGCTGTGATCCCTTGTCGTCGATGGGTACATAGCCGCTGGCCCTCCTCCAACACGAACCCCAGCCGAAACACTAGGGGGCACTTGCCTCACGGCACCTTCGTGGCGGCATCTGGGCGGCGGACGGCTGCCAGCCGGCATGGCGCTTGCAAGACGGAGCCTCCCGGGATGCCATCGGCGGCCAGATTCTCCTCGCTCTGGACAGCCGGCAGGGTTAGCGGGTTCGGCCTCAGCACATTAATGTGCCCAATCCCCTGTAAAACACACACACACACAACCACATGAACACGGGCACGGTTCTCTGTAATCTCAGTCAGTCAGTCAGAACACGACGGCTGCCCGCCCGCCTGGCCGCTCCCCCAGCTTCTGTGCCGGGGTGGGTGGCGTCTCTGTGTGACAGCACAATGAGTTCTGCCACACGAAAACTCCCTTGATTTTTAAATTTCCAAATGCTTGAATTCGCAATCGACAGGTGCAGCAGCTTCCCAGCTGCTGCCACCTTCCCACCAGCTGCCCGTTTCGTATTCGTACGTTTGCATTTTTCCCATCTGCAGGTGGACATTTTCCACCCATTGTGGAAAGTTTTCCCCTCATCTGTTCGATATTTTCCTGACAGCTGAGTGACCGCCAGACTATATAAGCAGCGCTCTGCCTGGTCTTGGCATTTTTTCTCTCCCTTTGTGCCGGAGCGCCCCTGTGTAACAAGCGCCCGCCGCCCCAGCCCCGCCCGAAGGAGAAGGATCCTGCCGCTGCGACCAGCGCTCGGCAGTCACCCCAGCGCTCTCACGAGGCTCCCCGCTCTCACACGAAGACAAAACAGGCCGGCCGGAACCCTCTGGGCCCGCGCCGCCATTTTGCACCACACTCTGAGCCGCGTGCGCAGCCTGCTTGCAGTCCTGGCCCTTGATCCCCCTCTTTCCCCTGTCTTTTGCCAACCGTTTCCCCTCACACCTCTCTGACAATCTCTGGGCTGGCCCCCAGGCACCCTCCGCTTTCCCTGCTGCCCGTTGTGCCCGATCGGCTCTCGCAGCCCCGCGCTACGCCGCCCTGAATGTTGGTTTCATACTTATGTTGGTATCATACTTCATATTGTCCAGTGGGCACGGCTTGTGTGTCCCCAGCCCTTTAAAGGGCCCGGTTCTCTGTAATCTCAGTCAATCAGTCAGTGATTCTGTGACCCCTGCCGGCTGTCCAGAGCGAGGAAAATCTGGCCGCCGATGGCATCCCGGGGAGGCTCCGTCTTGCAAGCGCCATGCCGGTCTGCCGGGCAGCCGTCCGCCGCCCAGATGCCGCCACAAAGGTGCCGTGAGGCAAAGTCCCAGCTAGTGTCCCGGCTGGGGTTCGAACTCGTGCCTGTGGTATCACCCACCGGCACTCATCCAGCTCCTTATTTAACGTCGCGGCCAACTGTGATCTGTGATCTGTGATGTTACAGAGGCAATGCCCATTAATGGGCTGGGGGCACACAAGCCGTGCCCACTAGCTCTGGACTGTATGAAAGCATGCAATACCGCCCGGGCGGCAAAGGGCGGGCTCAGGGAGCGGTCGGGCGCAAAGGGCGGGGAGGGAGGCGAGGGGCGCCTGATGGCCAGCCCAAGGGCGGCAAGCATACCAGTGGGGGGGAGGGGCAGGTCGAGGACCCGCACACCACCACCACCAGAAAGCGGGCCCACCCACCCCGGCACAGTAGCTGGGAGAGCGGCCAGGCGGGCGGGCGGGGGCCGCAAAGGTGAAGGCGGCACGCGGGAAGACCGGGCAAGGGGAGGACGGGGCGAGCGCAAAAGCGCAAGCATCTGCGGGTTACGGGGGGGAGAGTAGGGGCGTGACGACCAGAACGGCAGGCACGGAGTGAGCGAAAAGAGGGGGGGACGGCGGGCCGCCCGGCACGCGGCGGCAGCAGCAGCAGCTGCCTGCCCGAACGCAAATCGCTCGGCGGCAACAGGCTCCTCCGCCAAGCCACGCCACCCCACGTCTCAATTCGCTGAAGGGAAAGCACCAGGGCTTGGGGCCGCGACACACGGAAGCGGGAATTGGGGGGAGGGGCTGGCGCGCACAAAACGCGTCGTAGGGGGCGAACAAGTCGCAGAGGGGGTGGCCGGGCACCAACGGGGCACACGGGGGCTCATACAACGGGCCGGGAGCCGGCACCGGCCCGAGGGGGTGTTCGCCGGACTAGCCGAGCCGCGGGCGCCGCAGGGCCCGGGGCACCCCTCCACGCACCATCAGGAGGCCATCTCGAGTGCGGGCAGTTGCAGAATGGGCGGCTGGCGGGCCAAGCGAGCCGGCGATGCTGCGGTCGCCCTCGTCCTGCGTCCCCAAGGCAGGGTGTTGCTCAAGAAGGGCCCCAGAGGAGCGGGAGGGGGGCGCGGGGCCCGGCCGCGCCGGGGGACTCGAGCAAGGAACGATGAACAACGTGTGTGTGTGTGTTTTACAGGGATTGGGCACATTAATGTGCTGGGGCCGAACCCGCTAACCCTGCCGGCTGTCCAGAGCGAGGAAAATCTGGCCGCCGCTGGCATCCCGGGGAGGCTCCGTCTTGCAAGCGCCATGCCGGTCTGCCGGGCAGCCGTCCGCCGCCCAGATGCCGCCACGAAGGTGCCGTGAGGCAAAGTCCCAGCTAGTGTCCCGGCTGGGGTTCGAACTCGTGCCTGTGGTATCACCCACCGGCACTCATCCAGCTCCTTATTTAACGTCGCGGCCAACGACATCGAACAACGCGTGTGTGTGTTTTACAGGGATTGGGCACATTAATGTGCTGGGGCCGAACCCGCTAACCCTGCCGGCTGTCCAGAGCGAGGAAAATCTGGCCGCCGATGGCATCCCGGGGAGGCTCCGTCTTGCAAGCGCCATGCCGGTCTGCCGGGCAGCCGTCCGCCGCCCAGATGCCGCCACGAAGGTGCCGTGAGGCAAAGTCCCAGCTAACCCTAACCCTAATCGAACAACGACGAAACATCCAGAACTTTCTTTTTCGCTGTATATAATTTATACTAAATTTAGTGGCATCGTCAAGGATTCGAACCGGTCACGCGGTTGCTTACTCCTGGAGAGTCCAAGGTCACAGGTTCGAGCCCTGTACTGGGCAGTCTGATGCCCGGTTAGCTCAGTTGGTCTTAGAGCGTGGTCCTAATATAGTTTTGCACATCCGACAATATTTTGCGTCCTTAGGGTCACGGAAGGCCAGGGGAAGTGGGAGAGTTGAAAAGTGGGAGAGTTGAAAAAGGAGTTGAAAGGAGGAATACGTGGGCTGAAAAAAGGTAAAAAAGTAGTGGGGAAGAGCCTCCAACTTCCCGGTTTTAACGTCTAGCTAAAGCCCATTATTAGACCATTATTTGATCTGCCTGCGCCAAGTGCAGGCAACGAAAGTCAATACCCAGCAGCCACCCATGGGCCTGCCTGCCTTGCACGGCGTGGTGTTGCAACAGCTGGCGTTCACGACCTACCAGCGAGTTTCCACTTCTCCATTCACTCAGTAGTGAAAGTGCGGGACTCAGTTGCTGCCTCTGAGCGGGCACAGAGGGCTGCTGCAACTGCTGGCGCCGGCTTGCAAGCAACCTGCACCCACTCAGTGTTGTTCATCACTTTCACTTTCACTCTGTAATACTCTGTACTCTTTATCATCACTTAATGACCGCCACCACGCAGTGCCCGCCGCCCTGCCGCCATCGCTTGTATACCGCCCAGTCCGCGCCGAACGCCCCCCTCCTTCCTTCCAAGCCATTTAACTGAGCCAGCCAGAGTCGATTGCCTCCCAGCCGCTCAATTCCCCCGATGCTGGCCGTGCGCGAGGCCCGAGCGCAGCGCCACGGGCGCCCGCCTCGCGTCAAGGGTGGGTTTCCGGGGGCTGCATTTCGCTGTATTTGCGCGGGAGGGGAGCTGGCGGGGCGGCTGGCGAGACGGTCGTCTTGCATGCCATGATGGCACGGGCCGTTCGACTTCCCATCGCTGCTGCAGGCCCCAAGCAGGAGCTGTGCACGCGCGTCTCAAGCGCCCGCGAAATCTGCGCGGCAGCGCCCAGCGGGGCCAGCGGGGCTGCGCCCCCGCCGCCCCCGCCGCCGCCGCCCCGCCGCCGCTCCGGCGCCTGGCTGGTGCTGGGCACCCTCACCCTGCTGGCCCTGGGCGTGGGCGTGGGCCTGGGCCTGAGCCTGGGCCTGGCGCCGCAGGCACCCTGCCCCTGCCCCCGCATCGAGCCCATCTTTGAGCGGGCGCTGCCTCCCGAGTATCGCACCTCCTGGGTGGGTGGGTGGGTGCGTGGGTGCACCCCTGCTGATCGCATGTCATGTGCCCGCACCTGTGCCAGCGCACTCATTCTCCCAATCACAATGACCAATCACAGACTGAGCCCCTCCCCTGTGCCCCTTCCCAACCCCTGCTACCGCAGTGGGGAGTCGGCTTCAGCGGCGGCGGCGGCGGCCCGCCCCCCGGCCCGCCCCCCGGCCCGCCCCCCGGCCCCCAGCCCGCAGCCACGGAGCCCCAGCCGGCAGAGTCCCAGCAGGCCCAGCAGGCCCAGCACCCAGCCGCGCCCCCCGCCGCCCGCCCCGCGCCCCCGCCGCCACCCGCGGACCACCAGCCCACCCCCCAGCTCAGCACCGACCCCAAGCTGCCGTGCGTGTACGACACGTTCGGCGGGTCGCTGGCGCCGCTGAACGGCCACGCGGCCGTCATCACCAGCCCCGGCATCGCGGCGCCGCCGGCAGAGGAGGTGGTGGAGGCGGTGCGCAGGGCGGCGGCGAAGCACGACTGCGGCAAGCTGGGCAGGGGCGGCAACCGGTTTGTGGCCGAGGACTACTGCGTGGATGCACTCATCAAGGAGAACGACCCGCTGCTCGGCCCATTTGTGGCACGGCTGCAGGCCGCCATGGCGGCCGCGGGCACCACCGCCGCCAACATTACCGACCAGGCCGGCACCAGCGCCAGCGCCGCCAGCGCCGAAACGCAGCCACTGATCCGGGTGCCGGTGGGCGCCGGTTGGTGGCTGTCAGTCTACCCAGCCGGGGCCAGCCTGCGCCTCCACCTCCACGGCGCCGGCCGCTTCCACCGCACCTTTGGCGGCAAGGGCAGCAAGGCCTCGCAGCGGGACAAAGTGCGCAGCTATTACACCCTGCAAGTGGGCTGCCGCCTGGGCGCCGGCACCAACGAGCTGGCCTGGCAGGTGGGCAGCGCCGCCCCGGCGGCCGTCACGCTGCGCCACGGTGACTTCTGGATCATGGACAGGGTGGCGGCGGGCGAGGTGGCCTACCGCCGTACCGAATCGGACACAGAGGCAGACCTCGAGTCCCGCATCCGGCACGGCGTGCCCGCCACCTCCAGCCTGGCGCTCACGCTCATGATCGGCAGTGGTGCCGCCGCCACCGCCGCCAGCGAGGGCGGCAGCGCCGCCGCCGCCGCCGCCGCCGCCAGCCAACGGAAGCGACGGCGCAGCGACAGCCTGGCAGTGCGGGTGGTGGACACCGCAGCATTCCCAACCGCCCCGCCCCCAGTGCCAGTCGACCTGCCGCTGGGCGAGTTCTACGGCCTGGTCAGCTTCTACAGGCACCAGAGGGTGGCCGGCATGCGGCAGCTGTACCTGAAGTTGTACCCCGGCGAGACAAAGAGGCAGCCCTTTGCATTCACCCACTCCGCCACCCTGCGGACGGCCTTCACCTTCTGGATCATGAAGAGCAACGACGCAGCGGCGGTGCAGCTGCGAAGGTCGCTCACGCCGCAGCAGAAGGCGGCGCTGCGCCAGCAGGTCACCAAGCCGGCGGTGGACGCCGTGCTGGAGGCCGCCGCTGACCAGCTGGTGTCCTTGAGGCTGACGCTGGAGGAGCGGGGGCGCTGGCGGGAGCTGTACCCAGGTGGGCGGGTCGGGAGCAGGCTGTCAGCCCGCCTCTTTTGCAACCAGCCAAATCTGCGGCGGTGCAGCACCTGCGCCTCCCAGTGGCGCCCGCCAGCGCCGCAAGCCAAGGAGCCAGCACACTGTACCTCTCTTGCTTGCATCGTCCCTCATTCCGCTTCCGCTGTCCTGCTGCGTGCAGACGGCTCCACGGTGAAGTCCGTGGCGTATGCTCAGGCCATGCTGGTGCTGCTCGACCATGCCCGCGGGGCTGGGCCTGGAGCCGCGGAGTTCCCCGCCGCCATTGCCCTCTCCACCGAAGGGCTGGAGGAACACTTCGACGCCCTGGTGAAGATGATTGACAGTAAGGAGTATGCCTGGCACAGGGGCCGGCTGAACAGCGTCGACGAGGAGCCGGACGTGCAGGAGTGGCTGGTGGCGCGCCAGCAAGTGGCAGCAGATGCAGCCAAAGGGATACCGCCAGAGCTGAAAGCCGCCTGTGCGGCTCTGTGGCGCCGGGTGAGCGGGGAGGCTGCCAAACAAGTATACCAGCAAGCCCCCGACCGGGACTGGAAGGCCCACTGCACGGCCATGGGTGAGTGGGCTTGGGCGCGCAGTCTGGCGTCCTTGCCATGAGCAGGCGGCGGCGCGGGAAAGGCCTGGCTCGCATGGCGGCATCTGTGCATGGCTGGCAGCACCACGGGCGTCGCTGACTCGGCAATCCCTTGCTCCATCCCCGGTACTCCAGCCAAAAAGCCTGTCTGGGTGAACGAGAAGGGCGACAAGGTGGCAGAGGGCACGGAGGGCGCGGTGCAAATCCCTGCCCATATGCTTGGAGGTGGGTAGCGGAGCGCAGCTGGCACAATCATGCGCATGCCATCCGCGTGCTAGCACCACTTGCTGATTGCACGGTGGGTGCGCCGCTTGCTCTTGCAGCTAAGTACCTGAGCACCAATAAGGTAGAGGCACGCAAGGCCCAAGAGAGGTCCAAGGCCCGCAGAGCCAAAGATGTTGGTGAAGGAATGCAGGCGTTGGAGTTTCTTTGGGGCAAGATAAAGAGAGATAATTGTGAGGCAAATTTGCATTTGCACTTGGGACTGCCATGATATGCGTGCTTGGCTTGTTGTTCCGTGTTGGCGCCGCGGTCCCCTTCCCGCCGCTGGCATCGGTGCCAACACCGTGACGGCAATTTGAGGAGTTGTACCCTGCCTTCCTGCAGTTCTCTACCATCCGACGCAGGACACGACTGACAGAGGGGCCCTACAGAGGAGAGCAAGGAGGGTTGCCCTCGACATTGAGAAGTGGCGGGCCTACCTGCAGGCTGTCGCCGAGGAGGGATTGCAGGGGCCGCCTGGGCAGGCAAATGGCTGGCAGCATGTGGCGGCCGACACAAAGCAGGTGGTGGCCATGTATTTCGGTGAGCAAATCTGGGTGGTGCACGTGGCGGCTGGCGCTCATTTGCTACATTGGCTTGCTGCATTGGCTTGTTGTGGGTGGCAAATTGTGCATCCAGGCGTCCTTGTCTCTGCCCCCACGTGCCCCCGCCCACACTCACTGCCGCCCCACCTCACCTGCCCGCTCCTGCAGTGGGCAGGAATCTGAGGCAGCCTGGCTTTGCCGACCTGCTTGACGAGCACGGTATGACAGCTGAGCGGGAAGCTGCAGAGGCTGACCTGAACGGGTGGGAGCCGCCAAAGTGGACATCGAATACGCTTACGAGCGAACAACAAGCCAAGAAGGACGAGAAGAAGGATCCATTCTTAAAGGCAGCTAGGTGTTACAGTCACCCCGCTATGATAGGCCGCGTGAGCAGACCTTGGGCAGGGGGCACACGTGATCAAGGGGCATCAAGAGAGGGGGTGGACCATGGAGCACCCTCTCCATGGCTCCGACCACCCTCCCCCCAGCTGAGCGTCCCAGGGTCACCCCACCCTGGCCCCGCTCCCCGTCCTGCCGGACACGCAACCCCCACAACGTGGTGGGGGGCGTGGGGATCCTTAGCAGCTTAGGCCTGCCAGGCCGACGGGTGCCGATGCTGGTGCGGGCTCCCGGCGGCAGGCAGCGCCGCCGCCGGGCACTCAAATGGCATGGGGCACACGGGCCCCCATGCCCGCACATCTCTCAGGCACATGAAAATACCAGAAGGCTGCACATGTAAGGGTGCATGCATTGCAGGCAGGAGTGCAAAGTGGCCTGCCGCGGCGGTTGGCTGTGCCATTACTCAATCAGCCGCCGCTACTGTGCCGGGCTTGGCGTTCCCATGCCAACATGCCGGCGTACCATCGCGCAAGGGGCCAGTGAGTGTGTGAGGTGGTGGTGGGGGTGGTGGGGGTGCCGCTGACCGCTGCTTGCTGACGCTGACGCTGCTCTTACCTGCAGGGGGAGGGGGTGGGTCGGGAGCCAAGGCCGGGCAAAAGATGCCTGGGCCCTACTCAAGGGAACCGGGGGAGTCACTGTGCCAGGGCAGCAGCATGCTCCTCATGGCACCGGTCGGCAAACCGGGCCAGCCGGCCCTGCCTGGCCTGGCCGAGGAAGGCGGCCAGGGAGGGCAAGGCGGGGCCGGGACTGTGGAAGAGCTCAGCATACTCCTCCCTCAGCCCAGCGTATAGGGGGCAGTCATACACTGCGTGGCGTACGTCCTCTAGAGGGGCCTGGCAGTGGGGGCATGGGCGCTGGGTGCGGTCCAGCCGCTGCCACCGGCCTGTCTCCTCAGCCATCCAGTGCGACCCCGTGCGCCACTGCGCCAGGCGCACCCGGCGCCGGCCAGGAACGACGCAGGCGTGTAGGCCTCCGCAGAGATGCTGCCCCCCACACGTCCTCAATGTACCGCTGCACCTTCACGGATGCGTGCGTGTACGAGGCAACATGGCGCTCCAGGAGCGCTTCCGCCAATTCAGGTATGGCAACCCCCTCGTCAGCAGTCAAGTCGCAGGGGGCGCCGGCCGCCGCGAGAACGCGGCTAACCTGCGCTGCCCAGGGCTGCCGGGCCAGTGGCAGCCCTGTGTCCGTGTCGGCAGCCAGCGCAACCCTATCCAGGATGGCAAGACGGGCGACCCGCTCGCCGCCCATAGCCTGCAGGTTGCTCACAAAGCGTGCAACCTGCAAGGTCCAGTAGGCGGGCAGCGGCAGCTGCCCCGTCTCTGCCAGCACAGTGAGGGCTGTCCCGCACACCCAGCAGCCCTCGCAGGTACTCCAGCTGTACCCGCTCGCATGCCGTCCTGCCCTGCAGAATCAGCTGCGGCGCCCAGATCTCTGCCCCGTACGACAACGTCGGCAGGACGTAAGACTTGAACGCACGCATGCTGAGCAGGGGGTCCTGCAACCCATTCTCGGCCAGGCGGCGACGCAGCAGGTGCATCGCGCGCCGCCCAGCCTCCGCCCAATACGATGCCGCCGAGGCGGCATCGTATCGGCAGCGCATGCGGCAGAGAAATCGCACGGCTTCTTGCTCAACAGGGTACTGGACAAGGCTGCAAAGAAGGAGGAGGGCAAGAAGAAGGCAATGGAGGTGAGGGAGAGCCACCGCAAAGGCAAAGGCAAGAAGGTGGCAGATCCAGGCAGCGCCGCCGAATCTGAATAGAAGTTTGTATTATTAAATCATGCAGAGAAGGGAAATTAATTAATAATAATTATTCACACACATTAGTTATCGCAGGCCTCAGCAGACTGCCAGCTCAGCACGGGAGGCACCAGGCCATGCAGGGGGAGCGTCGGCGGAGGGCCAGCGCCTCAGGGAGGGCAGCTGGTCTGGGCTGGGCTGGCTTGTGGATGCCAGGGGAGCAGGAGGAGGTGCCAGGGGAAGTGGGGGAGGAGACGGAGTGAACAACAGAGACTGACAAGGGGGACGGGGCAAAGGCGGCACCTGCGCAGGGCGGGGAGATCCGGGCGCACGGCTGGGCTTGGCTCTCGCTGCCCTGCTGCCCGCTGCCCCGTTGCAGGACACTCTGCGTTGGTTCTTAAGGAGTACCAGCTTGAGCTTGACTCCCAAGCGTTCCGGATGCAGTCGACAAAGCTCCTCGGCGGCGCGGCCTCGCACCCCTGGAGCACCCCTTGGCGGAAGCGCAACAAAGCCCCAAATCCGTGTCGGCGCCGCCGCCGCCGCATCGCAAACCATGAACACCATCCAGCTAGCCCTTCTGATCCTGCTGGCGGCGGGGGCGGCCGCCTCTTGTCCGCCCCCGCCATCCCAAGTGCAACTCCCCAACGCCACGGCCAGCGGCTATGTGCCCATCGACGACAAGGGATCACAGCTGTTCTTCCTGTTTTACGAGGCCCAGAGCAGAGCCCCCGACGACCCGAAGAGGGCCGCCAGTCGCCGCGCCCACGCCCCAATCACGCTCTGGCTACAGGTGCGGGCTAGATGGGCCGCAATGGGTGCAGCCAGGCCACCGGTGCGGTCGCAGGTCACGCCTGAGCTGCCGCCGCTCGCCGCCGCCGCTCGCCGCCGACTCGCTGCGACTCTGCCTGCTCCTGCAGGGGGGTCCCGGCTGCGCGTCCCTATTTGGCGCCTTTTACGAGCTGGGGCCAGACCTGGTGGACGGGGAGCTGGGCCTGCAGCCCAACCCAGGTGGGTGCTGGCCTTGCCGCCGGCGCGTGGCCCGCCGTGGCGGGATCGTGTTGCGCCCAGGGCCTCCTCACAAGCCTGCCGCCCAGCCACCTTCACCGCAGGGGCGTGGAACCGCAAGTCGGCGCTGCTCTTCATCGACCAACCCGTCGGGGCGGGCTTCAGCCTGCCAGGTGAGCGAAGCGGCTGCTTCAAGCATCCCTTCTGTTAGCCGCTCCGTGCCTGTCTTAGCTGTGTGTTCCTCTGTCGACCCCTACTCACCCCTCCCCCCGCCTTGCCCTGCCCAGGCAAGGAGCGGTCGATCCCCAAGGATGAGATGACGCTGGCGGCAGATTTGTACTGCGGCCTGCAGGCCTTCTTCCAGCGCTACCCGGACCTGCAAGCCCACCCGCTGGTCATAGCAGGAGAGAGCTACGCTGGTGGGTGTGGGCCTGAGCCAGCCATGCTTTAGAGCAGCTGCTATGCTCGGTAGCGATGCATGCAGATGAATGGTGGTCAGTTCGTTGGGTGCCACCCGCCCGCCGCTCGCCCGCTGCAGGCAAGTATGTGCCCAGCATAGGCCACTTCATCCTGCAGCAGACGGCGGGTGAGGAGGGCGCCGAGCGGCGCCTGCAGCACCGCCGCGCCATCCCGCCCCACCTGCTGGCCTCCCGCCCGCTGCTGGGCGAGCCGCCGCTTTTCAAGCTGCAGGCGCTTGCAATTGGCAACGGGCTGACCGACCCGGCGGCGCAGGCAAGGGGCCTCTGGCTGCGCTCTCGCGCTTGCTTCTGCTGCCTCTGCTTGCTTCTGTGCCTGCAGCTGCTGTTGTCCACATCCTGCCTTGCCCATCACCTGCACCGCCACTACCCTGCACCACCTAGCTTTGGTTCTCTGCCGCTTGCTGCGGCGCTGCACGCTGCATGCTGCCGCGCTGCTTGGTCACCGAGGCTGTGGCACTGCTGCGCAGCGTCTTCAAGAACACTAAGGTTGCTGATTCCCAGCCTGCGGCCTGCCTCCTCTGTGTGCCACCTGCAGGTCATGGCTCACGCCGACACCGCCTACTTCCAGGGCTACATCGACCCTCACCAGCGCGTGAGGGCCATGACCATGCAGCTGGAGGTGGTGCAGCTGATCGCGGCGGGTGAGGGCGGCGTGTGTGTGCATGTGTGTGTGTGTGTGTGTGTGCTTTCAGGGGTGGTGGCGGGCGACGTCTGTGGTGGGTGTGGTGGTGATGCAGCTCCTTTCGGCGCCTGAGAGCGGAGCTGTGTGCATGATGGTCTCTGCGCCCGATCGTGTGCTGCCTGCTGGCCCTTGAGTGGCTGCAGGGCGGTGGGAGGAGGCGCATGGGCTGCGGTCGGGCCTGCTGGAGCACATTCGGAGCTCGGCGGGGGCCGCCACGCTGCTGGACATGGGCAGGTGTGTGTGTGTGTGTGTGTGTGTGTGTGCTCTCTGAAGCCTCGGCATTCCAGCAGTTTGCTGCGCCTGGCACCTGTGGCCATGCTGGCGGCACTGCTGTTGGTACCGCAGGTACGAGGACTATGATGCCGGGAAGCTGGTGGACTGCTACCTGAACCTGCCCGAAGTACAGGTGGGGCCTGATGTGTACTTCCTTCACACCCCTCTATTATTGCCCACTGGCACATGGAAGCGACACCGCTGGCCCAGGGCGGGGGGGGCTCGCTGTGCACAGCCCAGCCTGCTGCCAGCCCAGCCCCTCCCCCTGCTGCAAGGCTGCCCAGCCTGGCAGCCGCTGCCTCCCCAGCTGCCTCCCCAGCTGTTGCTCCTGCTGCCTCCGGTGCAGGAGGCTCTGGGCGTGGCGCCGGGGCTGCGCTTTGAGTCGTGTTCTGACGAGGTGGGGGAGGCGCTGGGGCCCGATGTGATGAAGACTGTGAAGCACCTGGTGCCGGACCTGCTGGCGGCGTACCCAATGCTGCTGTACCAAGGCAGGGGCCCCGGATCCTGTTGGTGTTGCCACTGGTGCAAGCGGCTTTCATATGGGCAGCTGGGCTCCCGTTCTTCCGCCGGCTGCCAGCTGTCGGCTCGTGGCTCTGTCCTGACGTGCGCTGGCTGGGTGCGGCCGGCGCAGCAAGCGGCCTCTGCCCAGCCGGGCAACCCTCCCGCCTGTTCCCTGCCGACGCCCGTTGCTGCCCAGCTGCCTGCAGGCATGCGGGATGCCCAGGATGGAGCCGCCTCCTCCGAGGCCTGGATCTATGCTGTGGACTGGGAGGGCCGGGCGGCCTTCTCGGGGGCCAAGCGCCGCATACTGCGGGCAATGGACATGGAAGAGGGAGAAGAGGAGGAGGAGGAGGGTCTGGCAGGGGAAGGCGCTTGGAATGTCGGCAGCGCCGGGGCCACAGCAAGCAGCGCGGAGGAGGCCGGCGTCGGAGATGCCCAGCTGTTGCTTGGCGGCGGCGGGGCGGCAGCGGCAGCCAGCGTGCGCCCGCAGCGGCAGCTGCAGGTCACTGCGGCCGTGGCGAGCAGCCTCGACCGTTCTATACAGCGCTCCGGCTCGCGGCAGCAGACGGCTGAGCGGCAGCAGACTGATGACCGGCAGCAGCGGCAGGACGGTGGCGGCCCGGCGCTGGGGCGGCGGGACGCCTCGGCGCAGCGGGTGGTTGCGTACTGGAAGCAGGGAGGCGGGCTGACACATGTGGTGCTGACAGAGGCGGGACACATGGTGCCTCGCGATGCGCCGCTGGAGGCTCGCTGGGTGCTGGAGCAGTGGCTGGCGGCGGTGCTGCCGCCGCAGCCGAGCATACCGTAGCACGCGGCCTCGATCTGGCGCAGCCCCTCCATGATTGTTTGCTGCTGCCCCTTGTGTCCGTGCCCGGCTTGCCAGGATGCGGTGTCCTCCCTTCTTCATGCAACAGAGATGGCAGCAATGTGCGCCGGCCAAGCAGCGTGCGGAGCGGCAGCGTGGGCACAGCGGGCGGGGTGTTGGAGCCTCAACATTGCTTCGCCCGTGTCTCCGTAAATTTGAACGCCTGCGTCCGTGTGCTCTCTGCTGCCGTGCCCTGGAAGGGTGCCAGGCGCTTTGGCCCGCCCTGCACACGAGAAGCCACCACGCTCCCTTGCTGCTGCCTGCTGGGCCCAGCCATGCCTACCGGCATTCAGCAGCTGCCTGGTGGCGTGCTGGAGTCGATTTTCGGTCTGCTGGACCCGACAGAAAGGTAGGGTCCGCCAGCCTGCTCTGGAGCGCGCGCGTGCTCAATCCACTCTTCTGGTACTGGTGCTGCAAGAAGGCTGGTAACCTCGGCTGGGACCCTGCCAGCCAGCCGAGGCAGCGAGCAGGAGGCGTGCGGCGACAACGGCGTCAGCCTGCAGCGACGCCTGCGCAGCAAAGGGTTGGGTGGGTGGTATTCAGCAGGCTGCCCTGTTGCATGCAGGCACCGCGCCATTCCCCTGGTGTGCCAGCGCTGGAATCAGGCGGCACGCAGCCCTCCCCTGTTGCGCTGCCTGAGCGCGAGCATTGATGGCGGCGACTGCTTCCTGCCTCGCCTGCACTCGCTGTGTGGCTGGCTGCGGCAGGTTTCGGTGGCGCATGTGCGGAAGCTGCGGCTCACAGTGCAGCCTCCTTGGGCGCTAGTGTATGTGAAGCGGGTCTGTAGTCTGCCCGAGCAGCAGCTGCAAGATTGTGCTGCGGAGCTGGCAGACTCGCTGGCGGCATGCAGCAGCCTGGAAACGCTGGACCTCTCCCTCGGCTTTGATTACGACCTCAGCAGTTGGGTGGTGCCACTGCACAGCCTGCGGCGCCTGAACACATATGCGCTAGTTAATTGCGAGATTGTGACTCTCTCAGAGTCGCTGGGCCACCTGACAGCGCTGGAGCATTTGGGGCTGGATGTGGGCGAGTATCTGGACCTGGAGCGGCAGGACCCAAGCATCCGCCTGCCGCCGTTCCTCACCAGCCTCGAGGTTGCAAAATGATGCTGGCCTCGAGACAAGTTTCATGGATGTGATGTTTCCTGTTCAGGTTTGTCTTGTTACGCAGCAAACTGTCCAGTCATGGAAAGAGCGCTGTCTCTGCTCCTGGGTGGCAGCTGTGGCATGGCTTGTGCTTGCGGTTGCCATGTGCCCTATCCCGTTGCATCTCTGCTGTGCAGATTGGTGCCCTGAACACACTCTGCAGCTTTTCAATGACCAAGTGTAACTACGACTTTAAAACCTTCACGCCTCTCACCCGCATAACCACCCTCCAGCGACTAAACTTCACGCAATGCGTTGGTGCGATTCCAGACTGCCTCCATCAGCTTACCACCCTGCACTCTCTCGCAGTCGTTCAGTGTGCCCAGTATTATGAGTATAGTGTGGAAGATTTTGCCATGGTGGAGCAAGCATTGCCCCACCTGCAACAGCTGATGTTTCTGGAGCTGGCTGATTGCCCAAATGCACCGGCAACGCTGTGCGCGCTGCAACACCTGCGCTCTCTGCGGCTGACACCAGCTGAGCAAGATGCGGTGCTGCCCCCCCGGCCTCTGGCTGGCCAGCCTGCGCGAGCTCGGCGCACCTCCCGACTTCATTGCTCTCAGCTTGCCAGCGCTGGCGGCGCAGCAGCAGCTGGAGGTGCTGGAGGTATTCGGCTCCAACACATTTCATGCAGGCCGGGAACCAGACTTGGTTGACCTGCCTCGCATTGTGGGCTGGGCACAACAGCACCCCAGCCTCCAGAGCCTATGCCTGGACAGCAGTCACGGCCGCTTCCCGACGGTTCATGCTGTTATTGCCGCGGCCCAGCGGGCGCGCCCAGCTCTCAAAGTTGCATTCAACACGTTGATTAACTATATTTCATCAAATTAATTTCTTTTGTTTGAAAAATGGATCAAGATTTTCATAATGATTTCTGGGATACATGTGCCTGTTTGTCTTGCTACTAGTTGTAAGACAAGAGGAGGGGAGGCGGTATTCAGACACGAAATTGTGGATCGAGGGTGCGTGTCGTAAAGCTGTGGCTGAGCGCTGGCGGGACGGGCTGGCTATCGTTCCAGGCATGCTACTGCGGTGGATACAACATGGGTGGGGATTCTGATGCCGAGGCTGGGCCTGCAGCCGCCCCGCACCCCTCTGTCTCTCACTGCAGGCAGCGGCAGGCGGCGGGGCGGGGCCTGCTGGTGAGAACATAGTGGAGCTGACAGGTGCTGCCAGCAGTGCTCACCCCGCCTCCCTCCCATGTGCCGACCTTGCCCAGCAATAGCACCCATCTGCAGGCCAGTCGACGGCAGCAGCGGCAGCCCTGGAGGCACACCCACAGGGCTGCACTTGTTATTGGTGCAATAAGAGTTCTTGGGGTCGGCGCAGCATTCCGTGTGCCCGCTGCACGCGGCGCCCGCTCCCTTGCACTGCAGGTGCCGGAGGGGAGAGGGGCAGGCCAGGGTGGAGGTGGCGGCGACTGAACACGAGGCGCGGGTGCCGGCAGCCCAGCAGCAGCCGCGAGCACGGCCAGACAAGTCGGCATCACTTTGCCCTAGGCACCCTGCCTGCTTGCACATGTAGGACGCCTGGGAGCAGTAACCGACGTGCTGGCAGCACTGGCCGTAGTCGCTGCACGTGTCGCCCAGCGCTTTGCAGGGGCTGCACACGCCCTGGGAGCAGTAGGGTGCGCCTGGGCAGCACTCGGCGTCGGTGCCGCAGGGGTCGCCCTCGGCGCGGCAGCCCGCACAGGTGTAGGCGGGTCCCGCACAGAAGCGTGTGCTGGCACAGCAGGACGAGTCGCCGTCGGGGCAGGTACCGCCCTCGCCCTTGCACTGCAGGGCGCAGCGGGCGCGGAGCAGGGAGGGGAGCGGTCGCGACCCGGCCCACCGACAGCAGGCAGGCATTCAGCCGAGCTGGCACCAGCAGGCAGGGGGCATGCACCCGGCGCAGGCAGCTCGGCCTGTCAGTGGAGGAGGGCAGGCTGGCCCGCCACAGCCTGCCGAGCAGCAGCAGCAGCTGCAGCAGCAGCTGGGGCTGCCGCAGCGCATCCCACGGCGTGCTGTGCGCGGCTGCAGCAGTTGCAGCAGGCCCACCGGATCGTTGGACAGCGCCTTGAGGTAGGCGGCGCCTGCAGGATCGGCAGCCCCCGTCAGCTGCAGCGTGTATCCCGGGGTATCAGGCGGTACCGCAAAGCCGCCGCCCGGCACGTTGAAGGCGTAGCTGCCGATCACCTCCGCCGGCATGCCCGTGACGTTGACGTCCACTGTGGGGACACCCCCCGGCCCGCTGAACCGCACCAAAAACGGCTGGCCGGCGGCCTCGTTGCGGCTACCCAGCGTCTGCGCCAGGCCAGGGCAGGGGGCGGGCAAGCTGGTTGCGCTTGGGGTGCCGCTGCTGGCGCCCAGGCGGGGCCTGGCGTTATGCTGGGCACGCAGGCAGGCAGCCAGGCCATCTGCGGCAGCAGGCAGGCGGCACACACACGCACATGCAGCGCGCTGCACAGGCAACCAAGGCGACCACCACCATGCTGCCTGCGCCGCTCCCACGCCCAGCTGCCGCTCACCACGCTGCGTATGGTGATGCCCGCCCCAGCGGCGGTCAGGCGGTAGCCCGAGGCGGAGTACAGGTTGCAGGCGCTGGCGAACCCCATGACGATGCCCACGTCGGCCGCCTGGCTGCCCTGGAAGGCGTGCGCGCAGGCGGCGTCGCCGCCAAACGGCGCATCCAGCGTGAGCGCCACGGGGCCGCCCTGGGCGCAGCCGGAGCCGCCGGCCAGCCAGGCGCAGCAGTCGCTGCCCAGCCTGGAGGCGGAGGAGAGGTCCCAAGTACAGGAGATGCTGCGGGGGCAGGGAGGGAAGCCAGGGGGAGCGGCAAGTGGTTGGTGGCTGATGGCGCGGGCGTGTGTGGGCGTGGGTGGGCGTGTGGTGGTGGTGGGAGAGGCCCCGTGGCTAGGCCCAGGCAGCGGCTGCTCTGCTCTGCTGAGAAGGCGGGGCGGGCATGCCGGGCGGGCGGCACACAGGCGCGCACCTGACGCAGACACCATCGGAGGAGCAGGCGCCGGAGCAGCAGGCGGCGGGGTGCGTGCAGCTGCTGCCGGCGGCCTTGCACTGCGGGCAGGGCAGGGCCAGGGGAGGAGGCGAGGGGGAGCAGCGCTGTAGCGTGTGGCTTGTGGCGGCTGCCGGCAAGGCACAGAGGCTTGGCTGCTCCACAGATCAAGCCGAAAGGCAGTGGCCACAACGGCAGCAGCAGCGGTGTGCGGCAGCATCGGCTGCGGCAGGCACGCACCGCTGGCGGGGGCGGCGGCCTGGGCTTCGGGGACGGCGGCGGCGGCCAGGGCGGCGGCGGCCTGGAGGCGGGGCGGGGGACCAGAAGCAGGGGCACAAACATCAGTGGGGATCGGCTGCAAGCATGCGAGCAAGCATGGGCACCCATTGATGGTGGCCCTGGTGGTGAATAGAAAGCATCACAAGCACTTGAGAGAAGAAAGTTTGAGAAAGTTGTTTCCGGTCGCGCAGGCAGGCTACTTGGGAGGAGGGGGACGTGGCGGTTTGGGAGAGGGCGGCGGCTTGGGAGATGGCGGGCGTGGCGCTGGAGGCCTGGGGCTCGGCGGCGGCTTCGATGGCGGCTTGGATGGCGGAGGGCGGGGCGGTTTGGGCTTGGGAGCGGGTCGAGGGCGGGGCGGCGGCGACGGTTTGGGCGGCTTTGGAGAAGGGGGGCGCGGCGGGGAGCGTTTTGGAGTGGGGGGGCGTGGCTTGGGCGGCGGCGGGCGAGGCGGCTTCTTGGGCGGGCGTGGGCGGGGTGGTGGTGGTCGGGAGGCGGCAGCGGCAGCTGCGGATGCCATCCGCGCGGCTCCTCCTGCCAGGCAGTGCCTCACCACACCATGCATGGAACGGGGCGTGGCTGTCAGTTTCAATTGGGGTGCAGTGCAGAATGCAGAGAGGAATGTGTTCCTACCGTGGCTTGCGTGTGAGAAGAGGCACCACGAGGGAGCATCTGCTTTAGCTCAAGCTCAGGCGGCCGGCATTGCTCAGCGCCTGCCCTGCTGCCGGAGCGGCGGCAGACTCACCAGCCAGCGACGTGGCGCACTCCTCGCTGCCTGTGCTTGCACATGCCTCAGTGGCACCCGTGGAGGCTGTCCCTGTGCAAGGCCAGCAGGGCGGCAGGGGGACTCCAAACTTGGCCCCACGGGCAAGGCAAGCAGCCTGGCGCTGGCTCGTGGCGCCGACGGGACCCGGCGGCAAGGGTGGGTGGTGCGCAAGGTGGCTGAGCCGCGCCCCGATTGAATCTGTTTCTTCTCCATCCAAACGTGCTGGCACGGCAATTGGAACCCCTATAGCAGCGTCCATTGGGCTCATCGCCCGTGGCCCCGGCTCCCGGCTCACCCAACCAAAGCGCAAGGGTTAGCAAGACCGACAGAGAGTGTGTCAGCGAAACGAGGCGTCTGCAAGCCGTCCGGTGGGTGAGGTCACAGACGCCATGTCGGTGGGTGCCCATGTCTGGCCCGTGCGTTGCTTCTCGAGCCTTTGGATGTTTGTGAGTGAACGAAACTCATTAAAAGTTGTCGGAGCATATGTCCGGGGCATGCTTTGCATGGTGTCCATAGCGCTCGGCGGAGCGCAGCGCACATCGGTCAAATGCCCTGTCCAGCGTTCAGAGCTCCTTTCGCAGCTTGGTGGGACATCCAGGCTTGGCCACAAGTCTCTGCCGGTTTGTAGAATGGAGGGATGCACCGCGGCGTTCGTGGCTGCACCCTGCCGCCCCTTACGCCGCTGCCGGCGTCCCGCCGTCTGGCTGGCAAGAAACCCCGCAGCACCTGGATGAGGAGGATAAGCATAGGTAACAGCAACATGACTCTCTGAAGTACTGTGGCATTGGCAGCTATGCGGCTCGGTGGGCGCGCAGTTGTTGCGTTCGCCGCCGCCGCTTGCCGAAATGAGGTGGCGCACTTCGCGGCTGGATGGCCCAGGCAGCTGAAGCGCCATCGCGCTCCTCCCCGGCCATTGGCGAGTACTCTGTGATGCCTTGAGCCTATCCAGCGCCGCTAGTTTGCAGGGGCCTTGCCGGAGCCCTCACTCAGGCCGCCGGCGATGGCCTCTGCGGGCCACCGCCTGCTCCCTGAGCAGCCCGGCTTCCAAGGGGACTTCAAATCGTCCATCCAGGAGCTGCTGCAGCAGCCCGCCGTGCAGCACGTCTACCTCCCCGCGCTCGACTTGCGGGCCTGGCTGCTGACGCTGTCTGATGGGCAAACGAAGCTCCATGTGTACGAGGAAGAGCTGACTGAAAGCAATTTCGCCTGCGACTGCTGCAGAATAGTGGGTGAGTCGATCGGGGCCCCAGAGCAGCCTTTGGGGGCGCTCTGGCAGCCCTGCGCTGCGCCGCGCCCCTAATTGAGCTGTGCGGAGAGGCTGCGCCGGCAGCAGGAGCCCTCCCGCCGCCTCCCGCCGCCACCTCTCCCGGCACGTGCCTGCCACGCCCACAGCTCCCGCTGATTCGCCTGCCCTGTCCTGCCCTGTTGCCTGCAGGATGGCAGACCCACCCCGTGAGCATCAAGAACTGGCACTTCATTGTGCCTGCCGAGGTGCGCTCGGCTGCCTGCCGCCGCCCGCCGCCCGCGCCCCACCCCTTTGCCTCTGCCACCACCCTGCTCCTCTCTTGCTGGCCCCGGCCCGCGCTACCCTGGCCCCGCCTGCAGCCAGCCCATGCTGCTGCCGCTACCGCTCATGCTGCCGCCGCCGCTCCCCTGGCCGCCGCTGCCGTCCCCGCAGGAGGGGCCCTACTCTCTGTCCGATCCCACCACGCTCTGCGCCATCACCGAGGCGCGCGCGCGGGGCGAGGAGGGCAGCTCGCGCATCGCGCTGCCCGCGCCAGACCCCGACGCCTCCCACCACCACCAGGCCTCCTCCGTGTTCGAGTCCAAGATGCACCGCATGCACGGTGGGCGGCGTGGCAGCCCGTGCTGTGGCCGGCGTCGTGCGTCGCCGCCACGACACAGGGGTCACAGGGGGGGGGGGCGCTGTTGCTGTCGCCTGCTGTCGCTGGGCAGATGCTTCTGCTGCCAGCCCCTGCCACATCTTCGGCCTAGCCAAAACCCCAGCCACAGCCGCTGCAACTCTTTGCCCCTGCCCCTGCACCCCGCCCCGCCCCGCCCGACCGACGCAGGCACGGTGCACAGCAACGGCTTTGGCCACCTGATGCGCCTCAACGGGCGCGAAGGCGGCTCCAAGCACGCCACAGGGCGCCAGCTCATGCAGGTGTGTGGGCAGGCCGCCGGCGGAGAGGCTGCCGGCGAGGAGGCGCAGCCGGCTGGCTGCCACGTGCTGTGCTGCTGCTCGTGCCGTTGCCGCCACGTGATGTGCCATCGCGGCCCTTTGGGGCACAGACAAAGCAGCCCGCAGCCCGTATGCTGGCCCCTTGCCGGTTCCCCGCGCTCCGGCCGGCGGGCTGCCTGCCTGGCCCCAGCACGCAGCCCGTCCGCCACCCTGCCTGCCCCCTGCCCCTGTCCGCTTTCTGCAGCTATGGGACGACGTCTGCGAGGCGCTGCACGTGCGGGAGGTCAGCACTGAGGATGTGTCCAACAAGGCAAGCGGCGCTGCTGCGCTGCCGCCCGCAGGCCCAGCTGCCGCCGTACCTGCTGCCGCTGCGTTGCTCGCGGCGGGGCCGCTGCCTGCTGCAGGGCCGGCGGCGCCTTTGGTTGGGCGCGGCCCTTCTCGTTGCCGTGATCCCCGCACCTCTGCACCGCCGCGCCTCCGCCGAGCAACCCAACCCAGCCGTCCCTGCCTCACCTCCCGTGCCTCCCCTGCCCCCTGCCCTGCCCCCTGCCTGCAGGCGGGCATGGAGCTGCGGGTGCTGCACGCCGCCGCCCGGCGCGCCACCTGGTACGGCCAGTGGCGCTACGGCTTTGGGCGGGGCGGCTTCAACATGACGCCGCAGCAGGCAAGCGCGCGGCGCCTTGGGTGCTTGTGCGCGTGTGCCCTCGTGGGCTTTCTGTGCCGTTGCGCTACGCTAAATGCACACAGCACGCCACTCTACGCACGCACGTGGCCGCCCGCACGCCCCCTCCCCTCGCCTGCCCTTGCGCACGCATGCTGTGCCACGTACACACCATGCATGACGCCAATAGCAGCAGCGTTGCTCACTACGGCATGCACACGCACCCCCGCCCTCCCTCCTCCTGTGCCTCCCTGCCCTCCTCCTGTGCCTCCCCTACCCAGCCCGCTGTCCCCTTACTCCCTTCTTGCCTAATTTCCTTCTTGCCCGCAGTGGCATGCCGCCATTGACTATGTGCACGGCGCGGCGCTGAGCGACGTGCTGGCAGACTTTGACGGCATCGACGCCACGGTGCTGGACATACTGCAGCGGTACAGGGTGAGCGGTATGGGCGGCCCAGGTGTACTGCAACGGTACAGGCTGAGCAAGCGGTACGGGCGGTCGGGTGTACCGCAGGCGCGGGGCTGCCCGCTGCGAGTATGCGCTCGAGTGTGTGCTGCTGGCGCCTGCTCAGGACAGGGCTGCAGGCTGTTTGTGCAGACTTGGCTTGTCAGCAGGTGGTGTTGAGTTGTGGCGGTGTTGACTGGCTGCCTGCCCCCCCGCCTCCCCGGCTCGCCCCTTTATCCTCCCCAGGACCCTGCCGCCGCGGCGGCGGCGGCCGGCGGGCGCGAGACGCTGGGCGGGCTGCTTAGCCGCGTGCTGGGCCTGCTGAGCCACCCCGACCCCATCCTCCCCGCCTTTGAGGCGGCGGGGGCCGCGGAGCGCGAGCGCCAGCGCATGATGGCCGAGCTGCGGCTGCTCATGCAGCACTACCACGAGCAGCAGCGCCAGCTGGCGGCGCAGCAGGCGCAGCACCCGCTGTCGCTCGACCAGGGCCCGACCGTGGCCTACTTTGGCGTCAGCCAGCAGCAGCAGGAGCTGCAGCGCCAGCAGCAGGAGCTCTTCGCCCTCGCCTCGCAGCCCTCCCAGCCCGCAGTGGCCTTCGCAGCGGCCGCCGCCGCCGACGACGAGGCTGCCGCCGACGCCGATGCGGCTCCTGGGGCTCTGCATCAGGAGCGGCAGCAGCAGGAGGCCAGGCAGGAGGCTGAGCAGAAGCAGCAGGAGCAGCGGCAGGGGCCTGAGGCCGAGGCTGCCGCCGCCGACGCGCTGGCAGAGCCGACGGCACAGGAGGCGGGTGGGCGGGGGGAGGATGAGGATGAAGAGATTTCGGAGGCTGACCCTGAGGGGGAGGCGGCTGCGCCCTCAGGGGAACCAGAGCTGCTGTCGGCGGCGGCTGCAGAGGAGCATGCGGCCGAGGCCGCAGACGAAGCCGCCGCCGCCGCCCACGCCACCGCTCAGGCCGCCATTGCCGTCGCGGTCAGGGCTGCGCAGCCGGCGGCGGCGCCACCGGCGCCCCACCCACCGCCAGCCGCAGCTGCAGATGTCGAAATGACGCCAGCAGAGGAGGAGGAGGCGGCTGCTGCTGCTGTTGTGCCGGTGGCGGCGCCGAAGGCTGGCGCGGGCGAGGCGGCGGCCGCCGGCACCGGCGCCTTCCTGTCTCCGCCGCCGCCGCCGCCCCTGCCGGCCTCCCAGGCAGCTGTGGTGGCGGGCGAGGTGGACACCTGGCTGGCAGACTACGGCAGCGGCGGCAGCAGCCAGGGTGGCAGCGGGGCCGGCGGCGGCGACGGTGATGGCGGCGAGGGGCCTGTGGAGGGTGTGCTGCGCTGCCGCCGCGGCGGCGGCCTCGGGGAGCCTCCCCTGGTAGACGCCGACGCAGCCGACGCTGCCCCGGCGCCGCCCGACGGAAGTGCCGTGCTGCGCCTGCGCGGCGGCGCCAGCGGCGGCCGCAAGCGCGCGGCTGCAGACGACGACGGCGCCGGGCCCGGCGGGGCTGCAGCCAAGCGCCCGAAAAAGGAGGGCGGCGGCAGCGGCGGGGTAGGCGCCGAGGTGGTTGGCCTCCCCATCATGGTGTACTGGAAAGAACAGAAGACGTACTACACCGGTACCGTCACAGAGTACAACAAGCGGGATGGGTGAGCCGCGGTACCGCTTCCTTTCTTGTGGCGCGGCACCGTGTGCATGTGCCTGCATGTGTGTTGTTTGCGGGCGCATGCCGGCCGCTCTGTCGCCCTGCAACAAAGGCCCTTCCTTTTCTGCCGCCTGCGTGCCTCCCTTGGCTCTACTCCTGCACGCCTGGTTCCCCTCGCCGCGGCCCCCACCTGCCCCTTCCCTGCTGAACGGCCCCATGCCCTTCTCCCCCTGCCCGCGCCGCAGCAAGCACACGGTGCGGTACCGCGACGGAGACGTGGAGCACCTGGACCTGCGAGAGGTACCGGTACTGCATTGTAATTATGTGCTTGCATTGCTGCTTGCGGCATGGTGCTGCTGCAGCGCTCGGTGTTGCTGCTGTGGTTGCCGCGGCGCCGCCGGCGCGACCTGCCATCGTGTGCCCCACCTGCCGTGCCGCTCCCAGCCCCTCTTCTCCTCCGCCGCTTGCACAGCGGTCCCGCCCCCATCACCCCTCGAGAGCGCCTCACCACCTCGCCTCCCTGCGGCTTTGCCGCGGCACTTGCAGGAGCGCTTCAAGTGGTCTGACAAGGGATCCGTGCATGGACCTGGGCAGCCAGTCAAGCCGCCTAAGGAACTCAAGGGCAAGGGCAAGGGGCGGCAGGAGGAGGCGGCGCCGCCCGCCAAGCGCGGCAAGCAGAAGGGGCAGGAGCAGGAGCAGGCGCCCGGTGCGGTGGCCGGCAAAAAGGGCAAGGCGGCGCGGCAGGCGCAGGAGGCGGCTGCTGCGGCGGGCAAGCGGTCGCGCAAGCAGGCGTCGCCGTCTGAGAGCGAGCCCGAGGAGGAGGAGGAGGAGGAGGAGGAGCAGGAGGAGGGCCGGGGTGCCGGCGGCGCGAAAGCTATGGACCCTGCCCGTCGTGGGCTGGGCCCTGCCCTCACAAACGTGCCCATGCGCATCTGGGTGCCCCAGGAGGAGCGCTGGAAGCGGGGGCACAGCACTTCCTACGCTCGCAAGTGAGAGTGCGGCCCTGGACCCGGGCCGCACGCTGTGCACGCTGTGCATGGCGGCGGCGGGGACCCGAGGCACATGCTGCCGCCGCCTGCTCCGCCGGCTGCGGGCGCCCGCGGCCGCCGCTCCCGTGCTCTCCCGCTGCTGCTGCAGGCGGCTGTTGCTTGCTTGCTGCGGCTGTTGCTTGCTTGCTTCTTGCTTGCTGTGCCTGGTGCCGCAGCCAGCCTCCCCACCCACTCACCAATGCCCCTCACGCTGGCCCCCCGCAGGTGCCACTCCTTCCTGTTTGAGGACGGCAGCCGGGCTCCCATCGACCTGCTGCACACCGAGTTCCAGGTACTGGACAAGGAAGCTGCCAGGAAGCTGGCGGCGGCCCAGGCGGCCGCCGGCACCAGCAGGCCCGCCGCGGCCAAGCAGCGGGACGGCCGGCAGGAAGCTGGCAAGAAGCTGGCGGCGCCCGCCGCGCCGCTGCAGGAGCCGGCGCCAGCGCGCGGCAGGAAGCGGCAGCAGGAGGGAGACGAGGCAGGCGGCGACGACGACGGGGCGGGCCCCTCGCCCCAGCCGGCCGCCGCCGCCGCTGCTGAAGCAGCCGAGGCCGCCCAGCAGCAGCAGCAGCTACAGCAGGTGCCGCGGCGCGGCCGCAGGGGCGCCCCGCCTGAGGAGCAAGCTGAGCGGCAGCCGCCGCCGGCCGCGGGCGCGCGCCGTGGCGGCGGCGCCGCGGCCGCTCGGCCCGCCGAGGCGGCTGCACGCGTGGCGGATGCCTGGCAGCACCCCACCATCCCGCCGCCGCCGAAGCCGCTGGCCGGCGCCGCGCTGCGTGCTTACCTCAAGAGCTATGAGGAGGCAGCCGGCGCCGCCGCGGACGGCACGCCCGTTCAGCCGCCGCCGCAGCAGCAGCAGCCTGTAGACGATGACGACGCGGTGGCTGCGGCGGTGGCGGCGGCCGCGGTGGCACACGCCGTGGCTGCCAACACGCCCGGCGGCTCTGCGGCGCCTGCTGCGCGGCCGCCTGTGGCAATGCCGCAGCAGCCGCAGCAGCAGCAGCTGCTGCAGCAGCAGCCCCCGCCCGGCCCTTTCTTCAGCGTGGAGCAGCTGGCGGAGGCTGCCGGGCGGCAGCCCAGCCAGTCCAGCCGCGAGGCGGTGGCTGCTGAGCTGGCGGGCGGCCGCCTAGCGCTGGGCTGCGGCAGCTGCCGGTACTCCACCGGAGGCTGCAAGCGCTGCCGTCCTCGCGTGCTCACAGCCCTGGTGAGGTCGCTCAGCCCCGCAGCCCTCCTCCCAAGCCCTGCCTGACCCGCTGCCTGCTGCCGCTTGTCTGGCCGCGCCGCGACGCGGCCAGCGCTGCCACCTCTTCCCTCAACACACCGCCATCACTGTGCGCACAGCACCACCACGCGTTCCCATACACACAAGCACCCCACCCTGTACCGCACTGTACCGCCCCGTACCGCCCTGCAGGAGGCGCAGGGCTTGGCCACCGACCGCCTGCAGCTGCTGGGCGCTTGCAACCGCTGCCGCGACTACGAGCACGGCTGCCCCGCCTGCTGGCGCATGATCCTGCTGGCGGGAGAGCCCGCGCTGGTGGCGCAGCTGCTGTCGGGAGCGGCCGCGCCAGCTGGCGCCGAGGTGCAGCCCGCGGCGGCGGCGGCGACTGCGGCGGCAGCGGCAGAGGGGAAGCCTGCGGCAGAGGAGAGGGCCGCGGCGGCGGCCGCGCGCGGCAAGCCTGGGCGTGGCGGGGCCAAGGGCAAGCGGAAGCAGCAGCAGGAGGCAGAGGCGGCGGCTGCTGTCAAGGAAGAGGCTGCCGCAGCGGCAGAGGCGCACCCAGCCGCTGAGGCGGGCGCCGCGGCGGCCGCCGCAGGAGAGGTGCCCGAAGCGGCCCAGGTCCACAAGAAAGCGCGCAGGCAACAGCAGCAGCAGCAGCAGCAGCAGGCGTCGCAGGCGGCGGCCGAGGCGGCCCCAGACGCGAGCCCCGCCGTCGCCGCAGCAGCGACCCCTGAGGTCCCGCTGTCTGAGGTCGACGGCGAGGCCGCCACCGGCAGCGGCAGCAAGAAGAAAGGGCCGGACCGGGCGCCCGTGGATGAGGCCACCAAGGCTGCAGTGCTGGAGCAGCGGGCGCAGGGCGGCATCCTGCTGGGGTGCCCGCGCTGCCGCTGGCGCACCGCTACGGGCTGCGTGGACTGCCGGCAGAAGGCGCTGGTGCAGATGGTGGGCAGGCCCTACTGCTGTGGTTGTGCCTGCTACGCCCGCGCTGCTGTGCTTGCCTGTTGTGCCTGCACTGCTGGCTCTGGCGGCCGAGGTCTGGTGCCGTGCTGGCAGTGTTGTGTCGTGTGCCTGCCTGCGTGCTGCATCGCTGCTGGCGCCCCGCGCATGCGGCTGACCCGCAACCCTCGCCGCTGTCCGCTGGTGCAGAGGCATGAGGGGCTTCAAGAGGCGCTGGCAGCGCTGGGCTGCGAGCATTGTGAGGCCAGCGATACCAAGGGCTGCCGCCGGTGCTGGCCCACCGCCGTGGCGGCAGCGCAGCAGGCGCAGCTGGCGCGGCCGCCGCAGCCGCCCCGCCAGCAGCAGCAGCAGGCGTACGCGGCCGCGGCCGCGCCAGCCGGCAAGAAGGCGGCCAAAGCGGCTGCGGCGGCGGGGGCCGCCGAGGCCATAGACGCGGCCACGGCAGACGCCGCCTCGCCGGCGGCCGCCTCCGGCGCCGCCGCCAGCAGCGCCAGCACGCGGCGCAACAAGGCGCTGCTTGCAGTCAACCGCGAGGCGGTGGCGGCGGCGCACGCGGCGGGCAAGGTTGCGCTGGGTTGCGGGCGCTGCCGCTACTCCATGACCGGCGGCTGCAACAACTGCCGCTCGCGCAGCGCCGAGCTCATGGTGGGTTCTGTGCACGCCCGCCTGGCCTGCATCTGCCTGCCTGGTTCAATTCTGGGCTTCTTGCCTGCCTGCCTGCCTGCCTGCCCTGCATTCAGCTGTCTGCCTTCACTGCTGCCCGCGCCGCGCTTGCCCGCCTCCCCGCAGCGCAAGGAGCGCCCCGCCCTGGCCACCAAGCTGGGCTGCGAGCACTGCGAGGGCAGCGAGGATGGGTGCCCGCACTGCTGGAAGGATGTGCTGGTGGAACTGGGAGAGGAGGCGGTTCAGAGCGCTCCACAAGACAAGGTGGCTGCTGCTATGGCCACGCCGTTGCCCGAGAATGAGGGGCCCGGTGCTGCGGCTGGCGCCGCGGGACAGCCCGCGGCAAGCCCCGCGGCGGCGGTGGCGGCGGCGGCCAAGGCGGCCAAGGCACGGCAGCCCAAGGGCAAGGTGGCCAGGCAGGGCGGCGCGGCAGCGGCGGCGGCGGCGGCGGCGGTGGCGGCGGTGCCAGGCGTGGGGGCGGTTCGGTTTGGAAACCGCATCACCAACTCACGCATCAGGTGGGAATATCCCAAAAGGATAAAAGGCAGATCACTTTAGGCCACCAAGCTTGCGTCATGGGTGTGATTGGGAGAAGGGCAGCTGCTGGCGCGGCCGCGGCCACGCATGCGCTCCGCTTCTCACCTTCCGGCTGGCTTCCTCCCGTACCGTGGCTGCAGGGTGTGGTGGAGCGGGGACAACACCTTCTACCAGGGCCGCATCACCAGCTACAAGCAGGGGTGAGGCTGGCTGCCGCCTGGCTGCTGCGGTGGGAGCGGCCGGGGCCTGCTGCTGCTTCTCTCTGAATGTTTGGGCGGCTCCCTGCCGGCTTCCTGTCTGCCCTCCCAGCCCAGCCCAGCCCAGCCCAGCCCAGCCGCAAGCGCCCTGCAAGACCAAGCCAACATAACGCCCGGCCCCTGGCTTCCCTAAATCCTGAATCTGCCCCTCTCCATGGCGCCGCCTGCAGCCTGCACCGTGTGGTGTATGATGAAGACCAGCACGCCGAGAAGCTGGACCTGCAAAAGGTAACGCGTGCAGTACCCCCTACAGTATGAACCGCAAAACATCCTGCATTCTGCGCCCTGGCCCTGCCCTGCACGTGCTCACCCCCGTGCCCCTGTGCCACACTGCCATGCCACACGCAGAGCAGCAGCAGCAAGCAACCCACCTTCACCCTAACCCCGCCCCTGCTTTCCTCCCCTCCTCCCGCTGTACCGCAGCACCACATCCAGCTGCAGCTGCAGGACCACGGCCAGTGGCTGGAGTTCAACGGGGGGCAGCCCGTGGGGGATGCTGCGGTACAGGCGGTACAGGCGGTCTACTCTGCCCCGGCCGAGACGCCGCCCCGCGAGCAACCCCTGGGTGTGGCTGTAAAGGATCTGCTGCAGAAGCGGGTGCGGGTGCTGTGCTCGGATATGGAGGGGCAGTGGAAGGAGGGCGTGGTGGCCGGCTTCGCCCAGGGGTGAGTGGGTGGGGGTGACAGGAGTGTGTGTGTGTGTGTGTGAGAGAGAGAGAGAGAGAGATGCACTGTGCACCCCTGCTGCACTGCCTGCTCCTGCTTCCCGCTCCCTCCCCTCCCTCCTCTTCCCATTCTCCTGCTGCACACCTCCTTGCTGCCGTCTCACCTGTGCGTGCCCTCCCTCTCTCCCTGTCTGCCCCCGCAGCAAGTTTGCCATGACCTTTGATGACGGCACCAAGGGCCGCTACTACCTGCAGCAGGAGCAGTGGGAGCCTCTGGACCTGGAGCTGCTGCAGCAGCGGCAGCACGCGCAGCGCGGCGTGCACCCCGCCGGCGCGGGCCGGCAGCCCGCGTCGCCGCGCCTGCGCGCCGCGCGCGCTGCGGCGGCCGCAGCGCTCGGCGCCTACGCCGAGGTATCTGACGGGGACGAGGAGGAGGTGGAGGAGGTGCTGGAGGAGGAGGCGGAGGAGGGCGGCGAGTGGCAGGCCGGCGGCGCCGCGGCCGCCGCCGCCGCGCGGCCGGCGCCGCCGCCGGTGCCCGGGGCGGCCAGCGGGGCGCCGCCGCCTGCCGCGCCCGCTCCCCGCACCGCGGACCAGCTGCCCGACCCGCTGCCGCTGTCTCCCGAGGCCGAGGCTGCTCGCAAGGTACAGGAGGGTCGGGGTGGCCAGGGAGGAGGGATGGCAGTCGGGAAAGCAGAGGGCCGGCAATCAGGGAGCCCCCTGCCACGGCGGCAGCTCAGCGTGCTTAAATTGGGCTTTGCTTTTGCCTGTTGGTTTTGCTTGTTTGCTGCGCTGCTCGGTTCGCTGCTCAACCCCAGGATCTGCCGGCCCAGCCTAAGGTGTATGTGTTCTACACTTATGCTCGACACTGCCCATGCTGCTGCCGCTGTACACCCCCTGCAGTACAAGTTTGGCCTGCACAAGTATGTAGGGCAGCGGGTGCGGGTGTGGGCCGCGGCGCAGCAGGCGTGGAAGGAAGGAGACGTCACCAGCTACGGCCAGGGGTGGGTTGGGGGCTTGCCGCTGGGGCTGCAGTGTGCGGGCTGCCCAGGCTTGTAGACATATTAGATACTATATGGAGCCTGCCGCTGGTGTGGGGTCCCATCGGCTGCCAACCCGGCCCGCTCCTGCCCTCCTGCTTGACCGCCACCTGTACTGCCACCTGCCACCTGCTGTACCGCAGGCGGCACAAGGTGCAGTACTATGATGGTACCCGCGGCAGCTTCAACATGCTGCAGGACAGCTTTCAGCTGCTGCCGCACCCGGGCAGCCCCGCGACGGCCGCCCCGCTGCTGCCGCCCGCCGCGCCAGCGCCGGCCGTCGCCGCCGCCGGCGGCGCGGCGGCGTTTGGGCCGGGCCTGCCCTCGCGGCGGCAGGCGGGCATGCCGCCGCTGGGGCCCAAGCCGCCGCAGGGCGGGCCTCCCATCCTGGATGGCGACCTGCTGCCCATCCCTCGCCATCAGCTGAAGGTATTGCTGGTACCACCGGTGCTGCTGGGCTGGGGAGTAGGTTGCTGCGGGTACCGTTGCTGGCGGCGAGGGCTGTCTGCCGCTTGCTTCGCTGGGTTGTGCTCCCAGCACCAAGGCGCTCCTCGACCACCTCTTGCTGCCTCCCCCTCCCTGGGCCCCCCCCTGCCCTGTCCCTGTCTGCCCCGCAGGGCGAGTTTGAGCTGCCGCCCTGCACCCAGCCCTTCAGCCTGGAGAAGATCTGCCACGTCATGCGCCTGTCCCTGCAGAAGCTCAAGGTGCGGCGCCTGGGTGTGGGCGATGGGTGCAGCACGGGGTTGTCTGTGGCCCCGGGCTGGGCAGGGTGTGGATGGTTGGGGGTGGATGTGGCGGCGGGCTGCCTCGCCCTGAGAACGGGAATGGCGGGGCTGTGGGGTAGGGGTGTGAGTGGTTGGCGCTGTGTTGGGCAGCGGTGGTGGAAGAAAAGGCCTGGCGCCGCCGCCGGGAAGTGCAAGCCCCGCGCCCCGCCTGCCACGCCTCCCAGCACACCTTCACATCCACCACACCCGCCACCATTGCCACCACCAAAAGCTAACATGTGCTGACCTCCACCCGACTCGCTCACCGCCTGCAGGAGCACCCCGGGCAGTGGGTGCCAAAGCTGTATGTGCGCCAGCACCTGCACGCCGCCAGCATCAGGCAAGCGCCGGATGTGTGTGGGGCGCAGGGGAGCGGAGAGCAGGGCGGGGCTGCCTGTGGCTGCTTCACCCCGCAGCTGCTTCGCCCCGCAGTTGCTGCGCCCGCGCCCATCCCTGCGCCCGGCAGCTTTTGTTGCACATCCCGTCCTGTGCTCCCTGCCACTCCTTTCTTTGCTGTGGTCCCGCCTCGCCTCCACGCACCCCTCCCACGCCTGGCTGCCCTGCCTCGGTGGCTCCGCCTCGCCTCCACCCACCCCTGCCATGCCTTCCTGCCTCCACCCCACCCCCTGCAGGGACAACGGCCTCATGGACTACTGCGGCCGGGCGATGGAGCTAAATGTGCTCGATGGGTGGGCGGTGTACCGCCTGCGGTCGCCGCGGTACAACGTGAGCTGGTACCATACCGTACCGTACCGGTCCCTTCCGCCTGGCCTCCCGCCGCCCGCCTGCCTTCAACGTGCCTTCCGCTGCTGTCCTGCCTTTGCCCCTCCCGCCCCCCCTGGCTGCCCTCCTCCCCGCCGCCAGCCCGCTCGCAGCACTTTGCCATGAACACACACCTTTGATGGCCTGCCCTGCTTTGCCTCCGGCTTCCTGCTCCCTGCAGTGCCTGTTCT